TGTAATATGTTGTATACGTATACCCAGTATAAATTAATATGTAGATAAGGTATACTATACCTTTAATAATTGAATTCATATTTTTAAGCCACATAGAATTCAACTTAGTACTTAAGTATTTTCTTTTAAGTTGCCTAGTTAACTTGTTTTACAAGTACCTGCAGCTGATATGGTTTGATTAGTTTCAAATCTAGCCTGGCTAACGAAAGAACAAGTAACCTCCTTCTTGCAAAATGTAGATACGCAGAAAACACTTTGAGTTGGCTTTGAGATGGCTGTTAGTAATACATTTTTGGTTCAGCTTAACACTCCTGATGAGAGCTATGGCTGGTCGAAACAGCGCTGTCGGGTGTTGTCCAAAAGAAGAAACATCAACAAAATATGACATGTCCTAGTGGTTACTGTAAAAAAGTCATTCAGGTTTAACTTCAGGGCAAATATCATTGGCAGATTGAAGGATACTAAATATGAGTGCAATTGATGTCTTTTCTATCTCAGTTGAAAACTGTTTGAATAAAACTCATGCTGGATCGTATATGATGATATATTTCTTTTTTGTATAATAGTAAAGAACAGGGAATGTGTCTGTTTTTTCGAATTAACTACACAAATGGAAATTGTACTGGATAACCACAAGCAATGTTTCAGGAATATACGTAATTAGAATATCTATGTATAGTTCTAATAGATACTAAATAAAAAACCTAGTAATCATTTATTGTTAACCCACTTCTTTGAACGATCACAGTGAAAGTAGAATTGCTTTTAATCTAGGTCTCAGTTTTCCGGTCCATCGATATGTTATCGGTAAATTGAAACCAGTTATTTACTTAATGGATTCGCGATTTAGGTAACAATAGCATTCATTCTAACAAATGTTAGGTAACTGCAGCATTAAGAATCTTTTGATGACTGTAGAGTATTAATGGGTATGATGATGACATGAAAGTCTTGAGTTTTTGCAGAAAACTACTCATAAATTAATTTTATGGATCGGATAACTTGCGTATTTTTTTTTTAAATAAGTCGTGTTACCTATATAGATTTTTGTTTAAAGAGCAAGGAATCATCGATATTTTTTAATAAATAATTAGAACTATACTTGGTGGATATCCATGATTACTAGGAATTAAACGAAACAACATCCAAATATCCTCAATACAGGGTGTTTCAAATTCGATCCTCACCCTTGGGATCTCGGAAACTATGAGAGATACGAAGATTGTCAAATTGGGGCAAAGTTGCGCATTTACCTGACTAACAATATGCCTTTGAGAAAGTTCTGAAATTACGAGTATATCCGGAGATATCCGAAAAAAACTGAAATTTCGAAAAATGGTTTTTATTTTTTTTTGCTTTATTTTTCGAAGGATTCGAAAATAAATTGCAGTTCCACATTGCCACTTTTTCCCTGTTACATAATGGTGTTTTCAAATTTGATATCCGACGTTTCGTCTTCCGGCCACCATCATTAACTTAATTTTTTCTTATGGGCCCTACATTGGATTCTTTCTGTATTGAATAGAACCAGATTTTACCTTTTCAATGATGTATCATAAGTTATCATTCTTTTTCGAAAAATTGGAAATATTGAAAAAATTAATTCTTATCATAATAGGCTTTGACTTTAATGTTTCTAAATTTGACTTTCAATTTGTTACACTCAGTGACATTTTGTTACTGTGCAAGTCATTGAAATTTTTGGCGAAAAATGGCTTTCACGAATAAAGAAAAAAGATATACGATACAAATTTATTACAAACACGATAGAAAGTGTTAGGACATCGGAAGTGTATTTAAACTTGTAACTCGAAAGACGATAACATCGAACTATGTTCAAGTTATTGGATCAAAATCTCACCGAGCTTGGTTCGTTTGAAGAGCCAATGAAAAAATACAATACGGGGACAGAATCAACAATCAACTTTTCAATGAAAATAGAACTTTGAACAACTAACAATAATTAACTAGAATGTAAAGACAAAAGTAAATCACAGAAAATGCTCAAAGTGCTGGCCTTGGTAACACAACTGTGCCCGTCTCCAAATATTATTCACTGCACGATTAATTTCCCTCCTCCTCAATCTTCCGAACTCTCTAACCATGCTGTGTTGAAGGTCCTCAATCTTTTGATATTCCCTCCGACAATAAACTCTATTTTTCAGTGTACCCCATAAGAATGTATCCATAACACTTAAGTCTGGAGACCTTGCTGGCCACCTCACCGGCCCATTATTCCCTATCCATTTATCACCAATACTTTTAGTCAGATAATCAGATAACCGTCTGGTAGTGTGCGGTGGAGCACCATCATGTTATAGTTAGACAAAGGTAGATCATCCAAATAGTCTTCGAAAAACAACATTAAAAACTTGTGATAGGTTTCTCCATTCAGAATTCCGTCAAATAAATGAGGACCCAAAATTCTATCTTCGTAAATTCCTGCCCACGTTAATACTAAATCCGGATATCTCCGGATATACTCGGAATTTCAGGACTTTCTCAACGGCATATTATTAGTCAAGTAAATGCGCAACTTTGTCCCAATTATCTTCGTATCTATCATAGTTTCCGCATTCCCAATGGTGGGAATCGAATTTGAAATACCCTGTATATTACTATTTGTAGTTTTCTCAAAAAAGTATAGGAATAGCGATATATTGTGGATATTTAAGTAACAAACGAGTGTTTTTTTATTAAACTCCTAGTAATATTAGAACTATTATGAGGCAAAAAATAACTTTGTTCAATGAAAGGAAAGTTCAACTTTTTTGCTGCTTGGGTTCCCTGTGAAGTGTCCATTTCTTCCAAGTTTCTAGAAAATACTGCAACCTCATTTTTATTGACCCGTCAACCGAACTAGTCCCGCACTAAAGATTTTGGTATTCCCACAGCTTATTCAGGCCCCATGAATGTAACTTCTGAGTGTCCTGGTGTAGAGTTGATATGTTCAAATCAACCAGTTCGTTCAGTTCTTCTCAGTATTCCCAAACTACTATCGAAGTCACTATTAGGTATATAGACGCCCCGATGCAGAATTCGCATGTGCATTCTTTAATCGTCCCAACTGTATTACTGAATGCACCCCAATATCTTAGAAATCAGCTTAAAATACTTTCTTGTTCCAATAAGCATATTCTTTTTTCCATGAACCGATTTAAAACCGTTTTTATTGTGATACCTGTCTTGTACGCTTATTGGTCTCAATTCGGAAGTCTGTTCAATGGCGAATTCTGTCCGGGCGAATAGAGAGACCCACCCCCCTTCTAATCAGTAAAAGAAAAGGGAAACCGGAATTTTGTTTTAAGTTATAATTAATCGAGAGTATACGCGTATAAGTCGATCACGGTTCATTTATTAGTTAGCCAAACATAGGTGAATTTTTGGGGGAAATATCGTAGTCAAAACATCACGTACAAAGACATGCAAAACAGCGTCGTAGGTTCTCCTCCAGAAAGATTCAGTGTTGCTTCTATTGGTACATTCGCAATGATGAAAGTCAGTATTACCGAAAAATCCGTTATGAAAAATACTTAGCCAATTGGGTATCGATTTGAAATTGTCAAACTATCAATTATTTTGGATCACATCTGCTCTGCTGTTGTCCATAACTTCTATTCTGCAGACATGTTTCTAATATTTGTGGAAACAAGTACATGACGGATATTGGCTTCTTCTTAGTTGATAGAAGCGAATTTTCGCTCATCACCTAGATCCATTTGGGTTGAAAATTTCTCGCTTCTCCCAGCAACAAAAATCAACCAGTTGTTTCCTGTATATTTGGGACCAAAGTAATTCTAAGAGTATTCTCGAAGATCCTAATGAAAAATATTTCAAACAAATCACCTCCAGATGATTTTGTCCAAGGCAATCTGAGCTGAATCTTATTTTATTTTGTCTCGACAACGAACGCCTTTGGTTTTTCAAAGACCAAGTAAAAATATTTCGTGGATACCTAGTAAAATTGATGAAATTATATTTTCATGATAAATGTGGCATGTGAATTCAAAGAGTCCTTTCTAAAAACTATCTCGTAAGCTCACGTACAGCTTGTCAAAACTAGGAAGAGACTTGAGAATTATATCTCCCTGTCTGTCTCTCGCTCACACACACAGTCTCCTAACGAACGCGCATCTTAGGGAAGGTCCCAAGTCGAGACATTGAAGTCGCTTCCTAGATTTGACAAACTGTATCTAAGTACCTCAAGGTTCCAACTATTAGTCCGGTTAATTTAGACATTCGAAGCTACCTAAGTTCCCACTAAACTGAAAATCAGTAAGATTGTTTAAAATATGATTAAAAATGGAATTTAAAAGTTCCCCTTCTTTCTCCTGTATGGAAAAAAATTTATTCAAGGTCAAAGGTCAAAAAAATGAGTTTTTCGCGATTTTCAGCAAAACAGTAAAATTATCATAAAAATACTTGAGACAAAAATTTTAGATCATAAAATTATCTACAAAAAATGTATTTATACTTTTTTCCTACGAGCCACTATTTTTGAGATATAACCATTCTGTGAAAAGATAGTACCTACCATTTGTAAACATTTTTTTGATTCGGAGCACCGTATGCCTCTGTCAACATTTCAAGTATTTTTGAACACTTGATTCCGTTTTTTACGCGAAATTTGATGCAAAACACTTCTAACTTTTATGCTTCTCACCAACAAACTACACATGCTAAATAGCTGAAACTTTGAACATATGTAGGAGTTGAGTGTATAAAAAAAATCTAATCGAATGTACCAGCTCTCGCGAAATTAGAAAATCCACCTTAACTTTTGTCCACCTTAACAGTCCACGTAGATCTCTCCCATTCGAAGATTTCTGATAGGTACTTCAATTAAAAGCAAAATGTACTGAAACTCGTATAAACGTTTTATTTCATTTGAACCGATTGAAATTTATGAAAATATTCGTAAACAGTTTAATATTTTTGTTTTATTTGCAAAACACAAAAAAATTACAGCTTATCCATATGTTAATCGATTTTTTTTTCAGATTTAGTGTTATTGGATGCTAAAAACAACATAATATTGAACGATGACATTTCCATTGGTCAAGTGCTGAAACATTACTGGGGTCTCCTGCTGATCGTTCTCCTGCTGATTTTGATAACCATTCTCGTGCCGTTTTTTGGATTATTTTTCTGCTGCTGCCGATGTTGTGGAAATTGTGGTGCCAGATCTCAACCTTGCGACAAGAAAAGGGACCTCTGCAAAAAAGTATGCCAAGGATCTCTTTTAATAATATTGGGAACTGCATTGCTGTAAGTTATTCAGATTATAATTTTTCAATATTTTCCAGTTACAGTGATGCTCAGGGTACATTTTCTTTGTTTCTTTTTAGTTTCTGTGTAGTTTGCGCCTTTGCGAGTAATCAACAGTTACAGAATGGAATAGAGGGGTTCTCGGAAAATGCCAGGAATGTAAAGAAAGACTCCGTTTCATATCTTGAAAGTATAAAAACTCAAGCAACGAACTTATGCGTGCAGAATTATCAAGAGTTTTCCAAATTATTCAAAGCTACAATTCAACGTAAGTATTTTTATGTATGGATTTTTCGTTGACATTTTGATGTATCATCTTCTATGAACGTATGAAACAAAATCGCAAAACCTTTATTATGTAGTGAGTAAGTTTTAGGAGCACGTTTGTACCAAAAAGGTATTTTACAAAGCACATTTACTAATTGGCTTTCAACTTACAGCAGGGTCGTTTATCTTCAACTTTGTCTGTTCTCACTTTATATTCGGTATATTCAGTCAGTCAAACATTTTATTCTGATTTTGGCAGTACATATAGTACTGAAATTATTAATCAGTGTCTGTTGTTTCTATTCGGAAGAAGTCTCACTGCAACCGTAAAAATAAATGCTTTTGTCAACATTTCGGTACTATTCATCATAGTTCTACATACATTACATATCGTAAATTGAAGTTCCTCACCATGTCTGCTGATCCACTAAACGCCATTAACTTAAAAATACCGAACGGATTTTCACACGGTTTTCACCAATGAACAGAGTGATTTAAGAGGAAAGTTATGTGTATAAAAACATAGAAAGTTTCAATTTTTTTTTCTTCATGATGTATAAAAACTCTGATCCGCTACTTGATAAAAAATAATAATCTCACCACAAACAATTTTCAAACTTAACATCAAACCACCCGATTCAGCACGAAACATAAAAATTTTAGGAATCGAAACAGAAATTGCAGACAATCCCAGGCAGTAACCCCAAACAGAGAGCTGCACACATCATCAAAAACAGTCTTTTCTTTTCATAAAATCACAATTCCGAATAGAAAACACTGAAATCGATGAAACAGAATATCAATACTAACAACAACAACACATTCACGAAAGCACACAAAGGTAACACAGTAATTGCTGTTCCCGATGACATTTACATAAACAAAACACCCGACTTCATACAAACCAGTTCAGCTGTAATTTTAACAAAAAATCCAACCAACAAATTTCAGATCATAGTAAAAAACTCCATTCAACAAGCAACCCCCCTCATCAGACCTGAAAACAGATACCAAAAAATGTCTAACAACATCATCCCATCAGACCAGTAGTATCATTTCTAACAGCATCTTCGTTTCATCCAAAAATCATAAAATTCCAAACACCATTAGAAACCACACCCAATTCTAATCTTCGTTCATTATCAAAAACTTGCAGAAACTAATAAAAACATCTCCAATATTCACCTTCCACTTAATTCCAAATTCCTCCGAAAGATTCTTACAAACTCATAAATGAAATGCTATTCAAAAATCATACAAACCTATTAATTCATTCTGATATTGAAAAGAGATATGAAAATTTCTATGTTTTTTACCACTTTCATTTGTAACTAACGTTACTGCAGTTTCGTCCTATATGGACATTCTCAAACTTATACAATAAACTTCTGATATCCTTTCACCATAGTCAGTACGTCTAAACCAGGGGTCTCCAAGCTTTGAAGCCTTCGGGCCATAATGATTTTTTCAGTTTGTTCCAAGGGCCAATTTCTGCCCTTAACTATATTTCTAGACTAGGATAGTCGCAAAGTGCGTGACCTAAGAAAACTTACGCTTTTTTGCATTTCAATTATTATTGTGTATTGTGACACTAAACGACATCTAGTGGCGAGTAGTGGTACTATGTACTATCTTTTTCAGCTACCCGCTAGGTGGCATTAGGCGTAATTAAATATTTGGAATTACGCGTTGCTTCGAGAAAGTTCTGGTTCTAGCTAGTGTATTCCGATCACCTCGAGATGGCAGTAATAATTGCATATATAAAGGCTAGCGGCGCAACTGCGAGTTAGTCTGCGTAGGAAAGGCGAAGGAAGCGAAACTGTCTATTGTGAAATAAAGTAACACCCGTCACTAAAAGTATTTTGATTTGTTTTATGTATGATTTGTTAGTATGGAAAAGAAGCGAAACATCGACAGTGAATGCAGAACGTTCCAAGAAAAATGGAAAAATGTTTAATTTGTAATGAAACCATAGCTGTTCTCAAAGACTATAACATTAAACGACACTATGAATCGAAACATCTTCAAAGTTACTTCCAAGTATACAGGAAGTTTGCGGAAGGAAAAATTTGAAGCTTTGAAACACGGACTCAAATCGCAGCAATCTTTGCCAAAGCGAATACTGAACAAGAGTCTGCAAATCGCGCCAGCTTTCGTGTGGCTTTTGAAATCGGAAAACGTGCCAAACCATTCACCGATGGAGAAATGATGAAAGAATGCTTGACGGCAGTAGCTGAAGAAATATGTCCCGAAAAGGTAAATTTATTTAAAAGTGTCAGTTTGTCAGCAAACACTGTGTGTGACATCGCAGAAAATATATCATCTCAACTGTCTGAAAAAAATGGACATCATGAGTGGTTTTCTCTAGCATTGGATGAGTCAACGGATGTGTCAGATACTGCTCAGGTGTGATACAATATGTAACAACAAAGAAGACCTCAAGAAAAAGTTGTTTGGAAAGGTCAAAATCAATATGTCTTTTAATTGTATCAATAAAAAAACTAACATTGAGAATCTCAGCAACATATATAGTTAACAAACTACACCAACACCATAATAATCATGAAAATCACATCAATCAATAACTCTTTCATTAGGAAGTTCTCTTGTATGCAGACGACACATGCACAATAATATCAGATCACTCGAAATTTGCACTTTCAGAAAAACTTACCAAAACACTAAACCAATTCAAAGATTGGTGCTATTGTAACAGATTAATGTTGAATGTCTCGAAAACGGTTTGCATTGAATACCATACAGCTCAAAAACTACCATCAGAACTATTATTAAATACCACTTTAATCAGTACATCAAAGTCTGCAAAATTTCTCTGAACCATATTCTACTGTAATCTATCTTGGGAGATACAAATTAAGAGTGTCTATAAGAAAATTAACCAGTGCCTGTTTTGAAATCTATACTAGATAGGGATACTTTATTCAATGTCTATTATTCATATGCTTACTCTGTGATTTCCTATAGTATCGTAGTATGGGGGCAAACCCGTGATATTCAAATGGTGTTTGTATTACAAAAAATAATATTACGATTTATTTTTGACTAATCTTTTCAAACCCCATGTCGCGATGTACACACAAACCAAAAAATTCTTATTGTTACTTCTATTCACTTACATAAATAACTGGGCCATATTTACCGTAATCGAAATGAACTGCCAAAAATTATCTTATCCACAACCATAACACATAAGGCATAAAAACGACTTGTTGCAAAAAAAGCGAACCACCCTTTCCACAAAAAAATCATCTCTGATGACTGGAGCGTCTAACTTCAATAGGCTTCCTGATGGTATGAAAAATAGTAATACGTACGGAATTTTTCAGGGTGGGTTAAAGAAAAATTTCAATAAAACATTGTTTTCATAGCTAAGGGGAATTTGGTGACTTCCTCTCCAGCAGTGTTAACTGTCCGGATTGAACCGCGTGGTGTAATTTTCATCTTTTCAACTTCTGCTTCGACGCCACTACTTGCTTCAAGAACTACTTGAAACTGAACTCATATGACTTACATGACTCGACTTGGAGTTGAACAAAATAAGAACAAAGGCAGTGACGAGACTTGGAGGGTCTCGAGTCATGAAAGTTCAGTTTCAGTATCTTCTAACTCTGTTTTCCTCTGTATATACAGTGCTTTTCTTTAATGTCCCCCTCTTTATTTTTTGAATGGGTCAACTCAAAAAATTGAAATTTTGATGATGAAATTAATGCATGAATACTTTATTTTGAAGTAAAATTGACAGATGAAACATCAAGATGGCGACTGGGCGCCATCTAGGAAAAAAAATAAATGGAAAGGGGGGTCTTGTGACACATATATTTGAAGCTCCTGACAAATGCTTCACAACCCTAGAATATAATGTCAATTTCTTCAACTACTACAAAATGGCGGAACTTTTAATGGTAGCCTTGAACTTCTTGACATATGAACAGCCTATCCGATATTTCACGCCGAACATTTTCGAACACGGTAACGTCAATATATCTACAAATATTTATTATTCTATACCGTATATCCAATATTGAAGCAGGTTCAGTTTCGTACTTCTTTTGCTTCGAATAGCCCCATAAAAAAAAGTCCGAAGGTGTCAAATATGGCGAGTGGGCTGGCCATTCTGTAGGTCCTCGAACAGTTCCCCTGTTAAATTTTGATCAATAAATAGAAGTCCTACAATATGATTTCCCAATATTCCTGTCCTGGATATTGGGTATGTGTTTACCGGAAAACGTGAAGGTTGGTGTACATTCGTCACTAAAACAAATTTTGTGTATTTAGGTAGGATGCCTTGCAATGGTATCCGTCATGATTTTGCAGAATTCTGTTCTTCGATCAGGGTCATCTTCAGTTAATTGGTGTACCATTTTAATTTTGTATGGATGATACGTATTCCTCTTCAAAAGTCTTCACACAGTAGAAGGAGACACCTCACAAACATTCGCGATGGAATAAGTAGACTGTTCAGAATTTACTACCATCTCACCAATTATTATCACTTGCTGTTCTTCCGGAATGGACGGATGACCTGGGGGCTTTTATGTTATGTACACTACCTGTAGTTGTGAATGTGGATAGAAGTTCCCTCAAATATTTTCTACAGATAGGACGATTCGGAAAACGTTCACTGAAAATCCTTTCGGTCTCGTGAAAGTTACGCATCGCACCGTAAATAAAAATTGCTTCAATTTTTTCTTCCAATGCATGAGAATTGACCATTTTAGAGATTGTTAACGTGGTTCCTTTCTACTAGTCAAAACGAAAACTAAAGGAGAATATTCTAACTGAACAATGATGTTTATTGTCGTACTGACATTTTTGTCGTTTTTATAAACAAAAAATAACTTGGAATTGCCATATGGCAGATAAAAAGGAATATTTCTAGAAATATCGATATTAATGTGTTTGTCTTCAGGAAATTATTAAATGTTTCGCCATTTTGTAGTAAGTGAAGATATTGACTTCATGTTCTAGGGTTGTGAATTATTCGTCAGGAGCTTCAAAATGCTGTGTCACAAGACCCCCCCTTTCCATTTAATTTTTTTCCCAGATGGCGCCCGGAGACCATCTTGAAAGTTTCTTCTGTCAATTTCAGTTCAAAATAAAGTATTCATGCATTAATTTCATTATCCCAAATTTCAATTTTTTGAGTTGACCCGTTCAAAAAATAAAAGGGGGAGGGACATTAAAGAAATACACTGTTTTAAATACCTAAAACATGTGGAAGTATATTTATGCCAGCTTGTAACTTATTTTTAAATCCTAATTTACATTCAATTTATATTACAGAAGCCGGATTTCATGTAATGCAACAGCTTACTATCTGGAGCAATGCCACTGCCATGATGCATTTAAATACTTTTGTTGCCACCATACCAAACATATCTAGGGATTTGAATATTTTGAAGGAAGATACAAACAGTTTACGTGCATCAGCATCTCAACTGAATGATGGTGAGTATATCATTAAAAAACAATATTATTTTTCTTAAAAGTTATATTATGTGAACGACGACGACGACTGATTTAAATTATAGCGGAAATATGTTTCAGTTATAAAATTACATCAACTTAATCAATTTTCAAATTTTCATGTCACGTGAGTCATTGTTGTACTACAAATCAGAATGTGGCTGTAAGATTTAGTCAGGCTTTATTTACAATTTCAAGCAATGCTGATTACTGATGATTACTGCTCATTTTTTGGATATGTGACTAGCTTTGATGTTTTTAATAACATGTACGAGTAAAATATACTTTCTCTTCAAACAGACTGGTATTTCCTATAAGTGTTTATTACAAAGAGCATTACTTGCGCGGTTTTTTTCTTAAGAATGGTCTTGGAGGTTGGTTCCTTGTTAAAAGAGAAGTGCAAATTTTTTATTGAAATGAGAAAAATACCTGTATACACCTAGGTCAACGCATAATTGGCATTTGCATAGTTTTCAAGAGCGAAAAAGCTTAAATTGAGATTTAGTACTCATTACGACAGTTGAACTCTCAAATTTTGTGCTCTTATCAACTATCGTCACTTCTTTTTTTATTTATCAACATTGACTTCACAATGCACTCAAAAATTTTGAGTTTCATTAATAATTTTTTTTTTCTTGACAGTATATTATCTAAAAATAATGACAACCTAACAAGAATATTGTCAACTCGAAAATGCACTAATTGGAGTTAGTTGAATTCAATGAGCGATAAATGTGGCCATTACTCATGAGAATGAAGTTTGTCAACGCCTCCAGCTTGTGTTGTAAAAAATTTGAGCAATGGCCATTTATAGTGTGTACAATACTATACTGTTACGTTTTTACCCGTGGGTTCACCAATAATTGACTACACTGAATAATCAAACTCAACTTTATTTCACTTGAAATACAACAAACACTATACTATAATAGTATACTATTCAATGAGCGATAAATGTGGCCATTATTCATGAGAATGAAGTTTGTCAACGCCTCCAGCTTGTGTTGTAAAAAATTTGAGCAATGGCCATTTATAGTGTGTACAATACTATACTGTTACGTTTTTACCCGTGGGTTCACCAATAATTGACTACACTGAATAATCAAACTTAACTTTATTTCACTTGAAATACCACAAACACTTCAACTAAAAATTTTAAGTATTATTTGAATGTCTTTCGCCTTACTAGATCACTTCGCGCACTGCACTCTAACGTCCACTTCACTGTGTACTTGACTGTCCGAATACGCTTGCAGCCAGCGTTTCAATATCGCAATAAAACATCGTAGAATTTTCGCCTAAGTTCCATCGACATCGGTAGCATGTTTCTTGCTGCTTCTCGAGCGGCAGGAAACATTGGACATTCCCACGCTATCGGCTACGTCACGTTTGGTTTATGGTTACCAGTGGCGGCCGGCGTTATTTTCTTTTGGGCATGATTAACAACAATACTATTTCTGTGTCTACACTCATTTTCACTCTTTAAGTTCACGTTTTCTTTCTTATTTTTGATCAGAAGCTATATATATAGGGTCTTCCAACATGGACTTCTGAACTTTGACAATTGATAACGGCCATCTTGTTGAAGCTATGTCCGTCAAATTAGTTGTCGTTTATTCAGTTTGTTTTTCCCAATCACCATGGACGGATATAGCATTAAACAACACGTGCAAATAATAAAATTATTTTATCAAAATGGGTGTTCTGTTCAGGCAACGTACCGTGCTCTTCGCCCATCATATGGTCGCCTTAATTGTCCTACTAAGAGGCATATTTCGTCATGTGTTGGATAAATTTGAGTCCACTGGTTCAGTAAACGATTGACCAACACCCGTACGTCGACAAAACGCAATATCTGCCGAAAACATCGCAGCTGTCTGTGAGAGTGTCAATCAATCATTTATTTAATCCTGTGGAACTTACAAAGTTATTGGACAACTCAATTCCATTTTCAAATGGATGGAAAAGTTGAATCTAACCAGTAGGTTATCATCAGAAAGGTAATTTTGTACCATACCGAACGACCTCTCTTTCATTTCAGATTTAGGGGTTGATGACAGGATCGAGAATATGTGGAAAATCTTTCTTCTTCCAGCTGTCCCAGTATTTTTTGTTAAAATTCGCTACCTGAGAAAGTAGGTAGACACTTTTCTTTGGATCACTCTGTATGTGCTATAATATATATGTTTACTGTAGATTTATTGTCTACATTTAAGTTCTCCAAGTTATTTGCTATAACTGTAGTAAATGCTCACGCTTTTCATTGGTGTAAGATAGTATGTATGTATTGGCTTGGCAGCCAGTTATGAGCAATCATATATCTGATCGGCTAGCTCTCAGTAGTTTTTTCTTATTTCTGGTTTTTGGTGGTCCCGACAACTTCCCCGAATTGCTCCCAATGTCATGATTTTTCCCTTGGTGACCCAGGGTATGGTTGCATAACAGCACTGAAATGAGCCCTTTTTCAACTGACTCTTACAGCAATGCCGCAAGAGCGCTTAGGAATCTTGAGGCCATTACATAGTTTTTTGTAAATGCCTTCGTCGATGGAAATATTTTCGGAAAAAGAAATTCGTTGAAATTGTTCACCTGAAACAGTGTATAACTAAACTAAATATATGCTTATTGTTGGGGATAGAGGTTAAACTTAATGAAGGTTTTAGTGACAATTCACTGTTCTCAAGGAACGCCACTATTCTAGATATTTCAACTACTATACCAGTATGAATATGATGTTTTTATATATTTCAGTGTTTTATAAAATAAATAGTTTTTTCCACCTCACTTGAAAGATCACAATTTTTTTTCTTACAGCAATGAGAAAAGTGAAGAGAGATCTGTTGGGAACCCTAGAAAAATGCAAACTATCAGACTGTAGTGAAATTAAAAACAATATCTCCCATCTTCAGACCAACATTGATTTCAATAAGGTAAATACCTTCAAAAAATGTGTATGTTGAAAATTTGTTCTTCGTTTGTTTTTTGTTTTTTTGGAAGTTTTGGAGTAATTATTAAGATTCTTAACTTTCAAAAGGGACATGACGAGCTGTTAATTGAATAACCATAGCTTTGTAATAACAGTGTTGGAGTCTTTTGGCTTTTAAGAACTTTTTAGTGGGTTAGCACTTAGCAATTGAAAGTAATTGATGATTTTTTGCGTGTTTTGAAAGCAGTGACGACGTTGTCTTTTTTATTGTAACACAACCGTTTCTTATGGAACTGAAAATATATTTTTTCAATATATGAAAAATTATGGATAATTTCAGAAAAAGTTACTAAAGTGTACTCAGTGTAATGTTGTCCAAGAGGATCAATAAAACACTGATCTGAATATTTGAATTATGCACCTTTGACAACCTAGCAATAAACCTGAAAAAATGTCATCCTAGGTTGTTGACAATTTATGTTATTTTAATTTTCAATTATATTTTACTTGTCTAGTAGTCCCAAAATTTCGTGCCTACGCATATTCTTATCCAAACATTTGGGAAGAACTATGCTTGTAAATCACCTGCATAATCAGGTGTCTCATCATACTAGAGGAAATATCATTTCTTGGAATAACTGATTTTTGTGGATCTGGATATTCGTACAATGTGACAAGTTCAAGCATTAGTTTACGGTTCATGCGAAAACGCAAATGGTGCCGACCGGCACTCTATTCCTTAGAAGTATTTCAACTATATCATTTCTTTCAAGGAAAAAATTGAATTTTTCAAACCAACAAATAATAAAAATATTGAAATGAAATTATCCATAGTCTTGAAATTATTTCCAAAATTAGTTAAAGGTATTGATATGTATTGTTGAAGTGAAAATAAATATTCAGTTGATTCAATTATATATTAGTGTCAAAACAGCATCCCATAGTGTTAAACTGAATTGGAAAGTTTTCATTCAACAGACGTATTTTTGATTTGATGAAATTATATTGTTTGACTCAACCGAATTATTTTGAGAACTCAATAAATGTTATTCTTGAAATGATCCACAATTCATTTGACTAAGTAAAAGACCTCTTTAATTGAAATATTAGAGAAATTAAAATGAGAATTTCATTTTGTCTCCGCAAAATTATCATCTAATCGAAACAATACACACGTCGTTTGGAATGAATGATATTTAATCAAAGTGATGAAATAAATTAGACTAAATAAATTTCTTTGAAGTAACAAATCTTTTTTTTCCGTGTGAGGCCAATTGCTAAACCCTTTGCTACCCCTTTCGATTTAAACTAAATATTTCTTTTGAACAATAACAATGAAGTAAATAGAAGAAAGTCTGTCAAAAATTAAGTGTATTTTTATATAAATATTATGACAACAAAAGGAAGGAAGGGCAGAAAGGCCACATTTTTGTGTTTTCGTATTTATAACTGAAAATTTATATAAGCCCACTTTTCGACTTTACACGTCGAAATTTTCAGTTCGTCAGAATTATTGATAAACAAATATTACAAATATGTGGCCCTTCTGCTCTCCCCTGTGAAACGAAAATTATTTTTTTTTATATTCTTTGTCATGAGATTTCAATACTTCAACAGAATTTTTCACGTTATGAATGATTGTTTGTTTTTTTTGTACCTTTCTAATATATTTCAAATATTTTATTTGCACGCAGTACGTTGATAGATATTTTCCAAGGGTGAGTAACGGAATATGATTGTTTTATATGTTTGTTGCAAAATGAGGATGGACATTTTTTGCATAGGAAAAATTATAGGAAAAAAGAGTTTTGTTAATGCTATGTAGGTTATATAAGGTTACGTCCAAAGTGAGTGGGTCTATTCGACCCTCCACTGCACCTCCACTGGCTCACACCTACTCACACTCAACCAAATAAACCCAGCTTCTTAACGAAGCCGATTAGTTTGTATGGATAGTGGTCTTTCAGGTCAGATGGTAAGAGTACGGCTCTGCCGAAATCTAAAAACCTGATTCGGTCCTCAGCGGGGACCGCTGAGTATGTACTCTGCTGTTTCATCATTTTCCAAACACAGGCGACACACACTGTCTTCCGACAGTCCGAGTCTCTGCATATGATGATTCAAATGACACTGACCTGTAAAAAGGCCTGTTGTAGTTCATCCCTACTGTAGTCCAACAACTATTTGGTATCAAGCTTCGAAGGGCGAATAAACGCCTTGGAGTGAGCCAATCCTGGAAGATTCTGCCAGAAGTCCATAAATCTTCTTGTCATCCAGGTGTTCAATCTATGTTTGGCAAAGTCTAAAGTGATGCCAATGACAGGTTCTGGTCCGATGAAGCTGCTTGAAGCACCCTCCTTTGCAAGGGAGTCAGCAGCATCATTGCCTTCCAGGCCAGTATGGCCAGGAATCAAGACCAGACACAATCTGTTAAGTCTTCCTATCGAGGAGAGTCGTTTTTGGACAATTTGCTAATGGAAATTTTTTGCATGGGAACAATAATAGGAAAAAGAGTTTTGTTAATGCTAAGTAACTTCAAATGATTATTTTTGGGGATTAAACACCTGAGTAAGCTTGAGAAACAGTGGAACCTGATAGTGGGTGGTCTATCCCTGAAAACGTAATTTTCATATCTATTGAAAACACTTTTTATACACAAGAAACCGCTAACCAAGTTAGCGTCATCAGGTAGTGAAGCGAAATATGCATCAAGAGACTTTTATTCTGGTGTGGGAAAAGTGTTTTCAATAGATTCATTTTATGCCAGAAGTTCCAATTGTACCTATAATAACTGTCATAACAATTGTTATTTTGAGACCGAAATTTAGTTCCTGATATATTTTTAGCTACCCGATGTTTCACCAACTATTGATAAGTTGAATGAATTCAACACTGATGAATTGAGAAGGGCAGCTGAAGAAGGAAAACAAAAGCTTGATGGTATCGAAGAAAAAATCAAAGCCGAAATGAATGGCACTCTAGATCAAGCTATAGCAAAAGTCGATCAAGCTGGTAAGCATTGATACACATGTAATTCTGTTCTAAATTGTGTATTTGGGATGTACTTTTGAAATTATTCATTATAATATGTCAATGTAGAACTGAACCAATTTTGAATTGTTTTTATTATAGGGGAAACAATAAAAACATACTTAAATAATATAACAGAAGCTGTTTCAAGTATTCAAACTCAAATAAACTATGCAGATGACCACATTGATGATATGAAGAAGTACATTCATGACTATGGTCACTATCGATATTATGGAAGTCTGGTAATTAGTTGCATTTTACTGCTGATAGCCATTTGCATAGCTTTTGGATTGATTTGTGGTATCTGTGGTAAAAGACCTGATGGATATAGTGATAACTGTTGCAATAAAGGTGCTGGAAGTCAGTTTTTGATATGGTATGTATACATTTTAATTCAAAGTGAATGTATATTCACATATAAAGTACTAGTTGTTGCCCGCGGCTTCGCCCGCGTAGAATTTGGTAGTTGTAGTACTAATTAGTACTATTTTGCTGTATCGCTGCTATTCCAATGTTTTGACAGAATCAGAATCAACGAACTTAGGCGTGCGCAGCATTATAGAACAGTGCTTTCAAAAAAATTTCTACAGCGTCATCTAGTGGCGAGTTACAGAAAAACTGATAGCCTAAAACCTTCTCTATGAAAAAATACTTATACATGTCAAGTTTCATCACGATCGGTTGAGCGATGTAGAAGTTTATCATTTACCAACCAACCAACAAACATCCATTTTTATATATTAGATACTAGTTGTTGCCCGCGGCTTCGCCCGCGTAGAATTTGTTAGTTGTGGTACTAATTAGTACTATGTTGCTGTATCGCTGCCGTTCCAATGTTTTAACAGAATCAGAATCAACGAACTTAGGCGTGCGCAGCGTTATAGAACAGTGCTTTCAAAAAATTGTTCCACAGCGCCATCTAGTGGCGACTTACAGAAAAACTGATGCCTAAAAACCTTCTCTATGAAAAATTACCTATACATGTCAAGTTTCATCACGATCAGTTGAGCGATGTAGAAGTTTATCACCCACCAACAAACCAACCAACCATTTACTTCGGGGTCGGCAAGTAGTTTTAGGTGGGGTCCGGTAACTGTGGGAAAATTTTGACGAGGTCCAGAAAAAAACAACTGATGAAAATCAAGTGCTACCTATGTATTATTTTGGTTTCAAATCAAATTCTGAATTAAAAAACACAAAATCTAAAATTAATATGTTACACCAACGGTCTTGAGCCAGTTTTTTATAGTTTGGTTCTCGATAGGAACAGCTAATTCGAAGTGTGTCTTCAAGGTGGGCGTCCGTTAACCTCGAACGATATTTGTTTTAAAAAAAATTAATCTTTGATATATTTGCAAAGACACATCTTCTTGCAAATCCATTCTGCTGCTACATCAACTTCAAATGGCGATTTAAGAAACGGAGATATCTTGCCCATCTCTGCAAAGTCTTGAAGTCTTGTAGCAAATTCGTTCCTAAGATCGACTAGAAATTTTACAAACACTGCAATGTCTTCTTCAGAGTTCTTTTTATATTAAAGAGTTGTCGGAATATGATTAAATTTTTGTCTTGCAATATCTTTTTTAAAGATATCCAGCTTGCAACGAAAAGTAGACACGTTTTGTATCATATCACATATAATTTTTCTATTTCCTTGTGATTCTGTGTTGAGCACATTCAAATATTTCAAAAAGGCCACGGCCAGCATATTATGCTCGTTTGTGCTTTCTGGCTCCCTCCGTATCTAAGTTTTGCAAGAAGGAGGTTACTTCTTTTTTATCAGTCCTGTCCATTTTGTCCTGTTGCAGTAAGTCAGAATACGCTGTCAAAAATAAACTCCTTCAAATGTCGGTGCTAAAGAGCAGAATGAGATCTTATAAAATTAATCAACTTGACCAAGCTGTCCATCACTTCTTTCAGTGTAGCACTAAGTTTTCCACAAAGGGCTGTCTGGTGAATTATGCAATGATACGATATTAGACCTGAGTTTTCATCCCTGATTCTCTCTACTACACCTTTTTCTTTGCCAATCATTGCTGGGGCCCTGCCAGTTGAAAGCGACACCATTTTATCTTAAATAATATTAGGTTTAGTAATAAATTCATCAATGACCTTGAATAAATCTTCTCCTCGAGTGTAACCTTTCAACGGCAATATTGCTAGCAACTCTTCCCTAAAAGTCTGACACTCAATATTTGTTCATCATCAACGATGTCACATGATTCATCAAGTGCTATGGCGTAGCAAGGTGCCTTTTGCAATAGTTCAAGAAGAGTGTTTTTAATATCAGCAGCAAAAATTTCCATTTTTTTTGTATTACTTCTCGCTGATTATGAAATACTTTGAAATGCAGCGACTTCTTTTTTTCCTAAAAAAGTGCCGTGACTACTACTAAGATACATTTTTTCACCATCTCAGAATCTGAAAATGGTTTCTGGTGTTTATCAAGCGTCCAGCACACACTTAGCGCCTCATCTGTGGATTTTTATTGCTTGCTTATACAACGAACTGGTAATTTTGTGCTTTTTCTTTGTGAGAACTGAGATATGCATGAAATTTTTCTTTACGAGCCTTACTGCCAAGAGGAAAGTTTTTGTGAAATTGCTGATGAGTTGTTTCGTAGTGTCGCTTCAAATTACCACTCTTAACAATAGCGACAGTTTTATTGCATATAAGGTACACTGGAAAAGCTTCAGGCCTATTAGGCAGCATAAAACAATAACTCCCCTGTCTCTGAGTGACTGAATTGAGTCCTACTGGAGTCCGTCAACCCATTCACAGGATGATGTGTTTGTCTGAACATGGGTTCCTTACAGATCACTAGTTTTCGGGTCAGAGGAAACCTGTAATTGCTGAGGATGGAAGAGTCTCCTTTTTAGAACTGTCCATAAAAGAGCCTATCACTCTATTCAATGATCCGTTTTTTTGTAAATTCATTTACTTTGCCTCTTGACACAGGCAACACATTTGGATTTCAAATTTGAAGTAGTAATGGATGATCCCTCACACTGGAATCAAGTTTTTTCGAGAGATGAGAGTTTCTATGGATTTGATGTTTGGCAAACCAGTTGTTGAAGAAGTTTTTGTCTGTTTCAAAAAACATTCATGCTTTGAAGAACAAACTAGAATCCACTCACTAGTTTACTAGATACAAGTTTCAGTTTGGAGATAAGCTTCAGAGAAGGAGATGGAGTATGGCTTTACTAATTCCTAAAGGCGAAAGGTTTTGAATCTTAATTCACTGAGTTTTTGGCGAGGGCTCAATTGAGTCGTCAAGACTATTCCACTTTCCAAGACTATCACTTTGATGTAACCCCAAGTTTCTGTAGAGGTGACCCTTCAAGTGTGAATTAATGAGATATTTTGTTTTTAGGATGAATAATCTAATCTAACTCAAAAGTCAGGGCTTATCACGATATACATTTCTTTGGAACATCTCATATGCATGCCATTACGTTACTGCAGATATTTCAATAATTCTGGATGATACTGAAAAACTGAACTTTGACAATTTAATGACCCTTCATTCATGAACATGAAATATCGTATATTGCACTGAATATTACCAACATGTTCGGCATTAGCCGCAGTTGTAACTGACAGTGTTTTTTTACATTACCATTATTTATGACTTCAAATGAGAATTTTTTTCAGTGCTGTGATGATAATGTTCATTTCTACACTACTTATTGGAGTCATAACATTAGTAATGTTGCTATCAGGTTTAGTGTCAGATAGAGCAGTTTGTTATCCAATGAGAAACCCCGAGAAATCAAAAGTGTTGGATCTGTTAGATGAGTTAATTGATAAACAAATAACCAACCAGGATTTGCACATCAACGTGAAAGATACTTTACAACGGTGCTATAGAAATGAAAGCATTTACAAAGTATTCAATCTGCAAAGTAAATTCGATATTGACACCATAACCAATAAGTTTGATATATCTCAATATTTGGATCAGATGAATTCAAAGCTGACAGATATTCTAAAGAATGATTTTACAATTCTGAGTGAACGCAATGAAAATATTTTGAAAAACTTATCAAATTTCGATCCAAGTATTAACTTTGATCAGTTTCAACATGAGGTGAGTGTTATTTTTTTTAATTTGATGTTTATGTTTAAAATCCATCGTGATAATTTTTTTTTATCTTCAAGTCTGGTGATGATTTTCAACTGATTTATGTTTAATTATAGTGGTTGTTCAGTATTTTTTGCACACTATGATTTTCTTGGCATAATTTTCTACTACTTCTCGAATTGTTTGTTTATTAACCTTGTATGTGTATTTTCACTGTGAATTTATCCAATTGATATGTTGACAACAGTTAACGCCGCTATACCAAAAATACCATTTTCAAATTATATTTTTACTAATTTGAAAAGTTTATATAGAACACTCTATATCCTATCAGAGTTGAGTTTTAATATCCCTCTCAAATAGACGTTCTGTAATGTTATATTCAATTAAATTAATTTTTAAAATATAAAAGTGAAATTTGATATCGGTTTGGTATTAGGTTGTTGAAGAAAGGAGAGGGAAAGACATCAACTAATCTCAGTGTATTAATATACATTCCTTAAAGAATTGAAACATATATCATTCACAGGACTTGTCACATTGTATAGTTCTTCTGTGAATATCTTTTTGAATTCAATTTCAATCCATTCCATTTTTGTAGACCAGACAGAATGGAAAAATGTTTTTCATGTAATTCAATGTTAATGTGAAATTAGTTGTTTTGAGAGAGCTTTTTTCCAGTTTGTATCTGATAGAAACTTCTGCACATGATCTACACATCTTTGTTAAGAGTTAATTTTGAACTCAATTGTTTTCTTCCTTCGGAAGACTGTCATATTTTTTTGTATGAAGATGGAGAAGTAGAAAGCCAAAACACGTTTTTTTTCATAAACTAATCTCTCTTAAAAATATGTTCCTTTTAAGTTTATTTATATTTATTTTAACATTTTCGTTAACTTCCTTATACCAGCATATTTATGTCTGAAAGTTTTATATCAAGTAAATAAATAAGATAATGAAGAAATGTAACATTAATGAAAATGTATTACTTTGAATATTTGTGATAATTTTCTGAAATTTTTCAGTTGAATGAAAATTTCACCAACCTCAGTTTGAACGAGATTTCTAGTACCTTACGAAAGCTTGCAGAAAGGACAGAGGGCGATGTGAAACAAGAGTTATTACTGAGTATTTTACATATCAATACCTACGATGAAAAACTTCTTACTCCAATGAAAGAGAAGGCATCGCAAGTTATCGTAAGTGAACATACAATCATTTATTTCTTCAGTTCAATCTTGAATTTGTGATAAACGTATTTCTAGAATCAATTTCCGTAATATGAAGACTAGAATAGTGGATTTCCATTTTGAAAATTTCGGAATTATAAATCGAAACTACTTTTTGTAAAATTTTCAAAAATTTAAGATGAAACATTAACAACCAGTAGTAAATATTTCCCAAGGGTAGGTCCTAATGTAATTATGGCAACGCTGTTTGAGAATGACAATTCCTATGTGAGATGTAACATAAGTTCAGTTATTTATTATACTGGTACTAGAGTGCCACCAAGATTTAGCCAAAGCCTCGGTAGATAATAACATTATCCTAAGGTGGGTTAAAGGGCACGACAGGAGTAAAGGTAATCATATTGCCGAATTTTTAGTCAAGGAAGCGGCTGGACTAAGAATTTTAGAACCCAGTGGCACCTACGACTTGATGACTTCGACAATTGCGGAACTAGCCAAATGTCACACCCATGCTCAATTCCTAAAGAGATAGGATGAAATCAAAGGAAGAAATCTTGCCAGGTTCACCCTGGGCTATCCTGGGAGCTGGCGACGAAGAAATATCTGGCGATGACCAGGAAAAAAATTTTCACTTGACAGTAGCATTTCTGACTGGCCACTGTCAACTAAGGAAACACCTCCATAATATGGGGCTGGTGGACACTCCTCTATGCAGGATGTGTGAACAAGAAGATGAAACTGTCAGGCATGTCCTATGGGAGTGTCCAGAGTTATTGTCAATAAGAGAATGTGTGTTCGGCGATTCTTGGCCTACACTTGCCGATATGAAGATGTTTCCCAGTGACCTGTCCACCTTCCTGGAAAGGACAAGATGGACGATGACCTAGGAGGACGACAACTCCTCGGGAGGATGTACAATGGGTCACATGCTGCCTAAGTGTTGTGGGCCTACACTTACCCTCTCTACTCTACAGATACAAATATTTAATCAGTATTAGTGGTTGATACAGACATTTAATAGATTTTCGTTTACTATAGACACAGATATATAGGCATAGAAAGAAAATCTGTATGTACCTGACTTGCTTATGTTTCAGTCACTCAGTTTCGTGGTCTATATATGTTTTTTTCTCAGTACATAATCTATTTTCTCCCAATTTTAATATATAAGGTGCCACTAGTTATAACTGATGAAATGCTTTTTATAACCAAGTATGAAATGTTTTACTTTTTGTAACTTATCATAGATGTTCTTAACTATATTTTATTGTGAAAATATTGAGGAGAAACCTATATAATCGAATAGTCACCACTTGAATAACCGGAACACCAAATTTGAATGAATTATTTTTTATGGTTGTCCTAAACTCTGTTCATCAAACAAACAAAATAAACCACCAAACAATGGTAGATGCGTGATCATCAGGTGATCACCACGCATACGTGAATCTATTGGGTAAAATAAACAAGCCTCCGTACGCTGGCCCAATCATATTTAACTACAATCGGCTGGTGGAATTCATTGTTACAGTGACGGAGTGGTCTGTTGAACGCCTGTGGTGTGTACATATACTGTATTTTAGAGTTTGACATTTTTAAAATGTCAAGTACTGATCTTATGCTTGAGCAGTCCATCGTAGGATGTATATTTTTCAAATGGAAAGACGGAGATATGAATTCCCACTTATTTTTTATGATGAAATAGTAATTTACTTATTATTTAATTGATTTTGCATGTTTTCTGTATATCCCATCGGTATTTTTCTCCTCTCAAAGATGCCAAAAAAGAAATACATGCATTTTTATAAATTCATGTATTTCATTTCTTGATAATTGAATATTGACAAATAAATTTAAATTTAGGTAATAGCACAGAATCTGGATTCAGCTTTGAAGATGAATTCAAGTAACTTCTCGGAAGCTATTAACAACTTAATAACTGAAATCGAGAAAGCTCAGGAAACATTGAGGAATGATGGAACCAAACTGCTCAAAGAGGTATTGCTATACCTTATTAAGTTTTTACATTAACTTGAAAAATATGCCATTTTTCAGGCTGCCAAACAAATTAGTAAAATTATCAAAGATCAGGTCGACAGTTATTTGAATAGGGTAACTAATGTGACAAGAGACGAATTAGGTCAGTGTGGGCCATTGAATGTTGCAATTCAAGCAACATTAATTTCAACTTGTGACAAAATCCTATTACCGTGGGTGAGTATCTAATGTAAAAATGTTTACCATCAAAATGTTCAACATTGATACAATTTTCAATGAGTTTTGAAATATATTATTTTTCAGAATGGATTTTGGGTGACTCTCCTATTCACCTTGCTGTTGTTTATACCGACCATCATTGTATCAGTAAAGTTAGCGACACTTTATCAGAAATACAAACAAAATGGGCAGTATGTTGAAACGTAAGTTATTAACTTTATAAATTCAATTTCAAATCTCTCTCTAACCTGTACTAGAAAATTTATAAAATCAGCGGTGAATAAACTTCTCCAGTCAATTATACATCATCGATATGAGATAGATTTATATTTATTTACATATCAGTAAAACGTCTTTAATCCTACTTGATTCACCTCAACTGCTGTAAATTTGATTTTTTTGGCATGGTTCCTACCTTGAAAACAATTGTCTTGCAATTGTGTATTAGTTAAGATTGCCTGAGTATTATGTAATTAGAAGTATCTTTATGTTGTTTTACAGTGAGTATTTGTATGATGCCTATGCTGATCGTGGGGATAACATTCCCCTGAATAGGTAAGTGTGCCCTTTTCATGCATGATAGAGAAAGGTTGTAACATAGCACCTAAAAATTGCATGAATTGTGCTTCATCAAGGTTCAGAAATGATTTTGAAGTCGAAATTCAACATGAGCTAAATGCAGGGTAGTGATAGATTTTGAAATAATGCTGGTATTATAATTTTTTGCTTAAATTTAGTCAGATTGTCTCTTACTCTTGAAAACATTGAAGTTATATTCTTGGAGAATTCAGTTTTTTGGGCTTATTTCCGAAATCTTTTTGAAAATTAATATGTAACAAAATTCGTGCTATTTCTAATTAGGTATTCAAAAGGAGATTATAATTTAATGATGTTGTCATCGATAATTAAAGTTTACGACTTTCAATTACTCTATTTATTGTAATATTTTGAAAAAAAGAGGAGTAATAATTAAAAAACTAGTTTCTTCTTTAAAAAACAACAAATTTGCTAAGCCAACTTGGTTAACCAAGTTAACCAGAAAATAACTGTATTAGAATAGCAACTTGTGTGATGCTCCTCTATTTTGATTCCATTTTCTGATACCAATTGTTTTTATCTTTTCATTATATTTTTTGCTGAAAAACGTTTATTCGCTTTTGTGGCCATGTTTCTTTTCAATATATGTTAAGTTTTATGGATGATGTTTGAATTAGAGCTAATTTCAAGTTTAAACTGTAGGATTGAAATTACCTTATTGTGTGTGTGTGTGAGTGCATACGTACAACTCACTAGTAACATATTTTCGAAGAAAGGAACAAAAATGAAATTTTAGAATATTTTATCAGTTTTATTGAAAAGCATTAAAATTGGGTCTTAAAATCTCTGCCATGAAAGAAACTTTATCAATGCAGTGAAAGTGAAGTCCCATTTATGTCCCATTAAACTATACAACAAATTATTTCATCTGTACTCGGAAATTTTCAATGTGTTTTAGTTGGGAAACAAAATGAAAAATATCTCATATGAGAAGTCATATGTTGTAAAATCGTATATTTATTTGATTTTTATTGAAAAGAAACACTCTTTCTGTCTTCAGTTCAATAAATTTCTATTGTTAAATATCTTCTGTCTAAGAATAAATCAGTTAACTACTGAATGAGAGAAACTAGGATGATATTAAATTAAATACATGAAGTTATATCTGCCAGATTGGCCTTTGTGATGATCCTTGCAGAAGTATCTGTCACTTGAAATTCAATATCCGTCATTTAGTTAACTGGTAGTTTTTCGACCTTGTTTTTGTATCTATCATACCTTACTTGAGAAAAAGGTTTTGGTTTTCTACTTCTTCATCTTTATACAAAAAATGATAACTTTCAGAAGAAGGAAGAAAGCGAATAATTTCAAAATAACATTACAATGAAAATGTAGTCAATTTTTTCAAATATTTGAAAACTTCAAATAGACTACATAAAATGAAAATATGAGTAAAAGTTTCTGACCTACAAAAATGCGTAATGATGAAAATGTTTTGCTTGCCAAACTAGCAGACTTGCCAGGTGCAATTTGTGATTTTATTTGCTTCACTTATGCTTTTCCTTCATTGGCTTCGTATCATATGTTTTTCAAATTTGTTCACTTTGTTTTATGAATTTGTAATGTTTTTGCTATTGAAAACAAACACAGTTCCAAAACCTGTGCTCTCAGTCCCAATAAATTTATGAAGCAAGCATATCAACAGAAATTCAGCTTCTCAGAAGGTAAATTCAACGACATGTACTGCACATTCTCCGGCGTATTCACCCCTTGAATCATTTAAAACATTATGTTGTCACTGATTGATTAAGAAGTGACTCCTCTAAAATACTTGTAAATTGAATAAATTCGTTGAATTTCACTGAAAACAGTATGATATCATGAATATCTAGAGGAAAAAAAGAAACTATTGTAGACATAGGAGGATTACATGTTACTTGCTGGGAATAATCTATATGAAATAATTTCTCATTTAAAATCCTATATGAGAATACAAATAACCATGTACTTCAATAGGGAATGAATGAACGCAAACGAAGTTGTAGAAAAGAAAGATTTCTGAGTCATTTTGAATCATGAAACCCAAAGCATTTGCGGAACACTGCTAAAGGATCATAGTAGCTGAAAATTATATGTAATTCATCATAGTCATGTCAGAATCATGATCGTCTTGAAAAACTGAGAAACTTATATCCTCTTCATCGAATAGTAAGTGATACTTTGTTATACCAAGATAAAATTAATGGTAAAAAAAGTGTCCTTCGCTGTATTCTAGACTGATATTCAGAAAAAGATTAGTTTTTCTTGAGTTGATACTATCTATTATTTCATAATTGTACTAGGTAATGACGGGAAATCCTTAAAAAGCTAAATAAGAACTTTAAAATGTGATTAGTGAACAATTTAGTCATTCTTAATTTAATTATCATAATTTTTTTTTTAAAGTCGTGGTGCAAAACAAAGAGGGGCTAAGAAAAAGAAGAAAGTAAAGAAGCACGAGGAACGACCTCAAAATATGGGAGGAGAGGTGGTGTCTCGGGAATATGCTGCAGGATCACATCCACCTGAGTCTAGATATGCTGATATGGCTCCAAAGTAAGTTCATTTCCAATTCAACGTTTTGAAATGCATTAAAAAACCCTTAAATACAGACAGGATTAAATTGGTTTGAAGGTATCATGGATTCAAAAATAAAAAGTAGAATATTTGATATAAATACTAAAGAATGTAAACTTTTACGGCCGGAGATAACTGTGTGAAAGCTATTTTCCGGGTGTTTTTGTCTTGGTCTGCAGGTTTTTATTATGCTTGACGTTTTTTATTCTACTGAGGTAGACATTTTCAAAGGCGACAACTCGAAAACCTTCTCGGGCCCTGCGATCGTTACCACATGCCCTTTGAAAATATCTCCACGCAGTATTATGCAAAACGCCAGGCATGAAAACCTGATGACCACGGCCAAAAAACCCGGAAAATAGCTTTCACAAAATTAAATATTGTTCATGTCAAACTACAAAAATTAAGAGCATAGAGTTTTTCACCGTCAAGAGTATGTAAAGAGGGGGTAGTATTCGGGGTTAAAGGACATATTCTATGTGCTTCTAAGAAGATGGAATATTAGACACCTTGTCTACAACAGTAAAGGGCATCTTCAGCAGCAAAATAGTAGTCTTAAAAAGTGGCGCAATACTGGTTCATAAATTTAGTTTTGTGAAAGGAACCAGTAGTCTTGAGCTGCTTATTGTTATTAGATTTTCCCTCATTCAAAATTTACTATGATTTATTTTACAGGTATGATTCCAATCCTCATTTTCAGTCAACGTATTTTTAAAGCAATATGTTTTTTGTCTAGTTTTTGTTATAGTTTGTTTCGATGCTTTTTAGTTTTCATTCTATTTATGTGCCTTTTTGTAATTATAGTTATTGCAAATTTATTTCTTCTGAAGCTTCGAATATCTTTCTTCCGCTTCTGCATTTTAGTATTTGAGAAGTCAAGATAATATCTTCGAATTTGAATTTCAACTTATACAATGATATGCCTTTTTCTATGAGATACTAACCCCGCCTCTAACTTTGATCAGTAGGTTTATGCTAGTTGATATTTTTAGTCAATCTATTGCTAGTAGGCCTCACAGATATATAATCTTATCGACAAAATCGAAAAATTCCAACAAAGGAAAACGTTTTTCATGTATATCAGTTAGCTTGCAGGAATATTGTATTGCATTCAGAGACCAATACAAAAATAAAAAATCAATCATTTGCTTGTTCATTTAGACGATCATTGAAAACAATTTCATATCTTTCATTACAGTTGGAATTATATTTCAAAATTTTAAACATAAGATTCAGTTGGATGCAAGGTAGTAATTCTGTAACTATTCCACTTGTATTAGGAGTCACTGGGTTATTTTCTTTAGAGGTGGGACACCCTGTACTGGAAAAAAGTTGCATGATTTTCAATTTTCGTTAATCCAAGTACTCATTTTCATATGTATACTTTCGCATTTTTTTTTATTTGAAATTTTAGAAAATCAACTACCATTCTATTGAACATCTAAAAGTTTTTTTTTATAATAAGTCGCCTCTGATAACTATAATGAATATAGAGGACAGAAAGATTTGTATACTTAGTATTTATAGATCTCCAAACGGTAACTTTGATACGTTTTTGAATAAATTATTTTGCATATTAGAGAACAGTGTAGGCTATGCTGATGATATCTTTGTTTGTGGCGACTTGAATGTCAATTACCTAGAAAATACTACTGAAAAGATCAAATTAGATGAACTACTACTCAATTTCAATTTACAAGTGACATCTTTGACTCCTACTAGAGTTTTTACCAACCAGTCAGGGAAAACTTCATCTACTAAAGTCGATTACATACTAACAAACGTTGAGAACATGTTTTGCAAATCTAATGTTTATGAAGGTAGTTTCAGTGATCACAAAGTATTCACAGTTACTTATAATATGCCATTAGAAAAATCTAAACTTATTGAACAATCTTATGTTANCCTGCATCTATATCTTTAAAATACTTTTATATGTTCGCGAATGTATAACAGACTGTACTAAGAACTCATTCTATCATAGCTACCCAACTCGATATGCAGAGGAGTTGAGCATTCCTAAACATAAAACTATAAAATTCGAACATTCTCCCAAATATATGGGAATAAAATTATTCAATCGGTTACCAGACCATTTCAAACAGATGAACACTGTAGCATTTAAAAAAGCAGTTAAAACATTGCTTCTTTCTAAGGCCTACTATAGTATTGGCGAATTTCTCTCGGACCATCTCGACTGAATGGGTTCATGCGGCTTTGGCATGACGTATTCAATTTTTATAACTACAATTGTTTTAATTTTTGTTATTCTGACTTATTTGTATAAATTTTTATTGTATTATTTTTATCTACTGATCTACAATTTTATCGTTTGATGTGATTTTTATCTGCTTAATACTGACCTATCCTATACGTTTGTCAACGTCTTTGAGGATGAATAAATATTATTATTATTATTATTACTGGAGTTTTTTCCCAACACCAAATCGTTATTTTTAACACCTCGACACGTGTTTCGATTACCAAGTGATCATCTTCAAGAGGAAGATTAACCGCAATATTGTGAAATTAATTTAAGACACTCAAGACACAGATACCTAGAAGAGGTATCTATGGTACTTATAAATTAGGATAAAATTGTTAGTATTTTTAGTTTAATCTTCCTCTTGAAGATGATCACTTGGTGATCGAAACACATGTCGAGGTGTTGAAAATAACGATTTGGTGTTGGGAAAAAAAACTCCAGTAATATTCATTACTACACCAAAGGTTCCAAACAGTGCATCATAAATCTGATAACTGTAAAAATAGTAACATAATATCATTCAATTTGTATCTAATTTCAACTACATACTCGACTTCAATTTGTAGCGATGTAATTCTCAGTTCTTTTATAATCTTGTGACAGTCAAATTTTGGGAATTTGTTCAGTAAGCTAGAAAATGTAATGTTATTTAATGTATTATCATGTCTGTATGTGTCTTTTTCCACGCTTTCGCTGAAGGTTTGTTCATTTTGCTTAGGCATTGGGAAGAATTTCCAAATGGTGGACCCCCACAATACCAAAGAGCACCCACAGAATACGAGAGGCCACCACCTTACTACTACCCTGGAACAGGGTGAGTTATTAGTTCATTTTGTTTTGTTGGCTTATATAATCAACACAGATAAGCATCTAGTTGTAGTTTGACAACGATTTAAAAAAAATATTATCTCTATATTATGCAACAGAAGACTTAGATGACACTTATTAATACATGAAACTGCAAGAAATGATTGAATTTGATCAATCAAAAATTAAAAAAGACAAAGTATCTCGCCGAATAACGTTAGATTTTCCAACTTACATAACTGTTTTCCTTTTCCGTTCTGTTTGCTAATGAGTTATAACAGATTTATAACAAAGAAGGTTATAACAAAAGACACCAGCTGTGGGATTGATAGAAACTCATTACTGAATCCACTAATATCAAAGATAAATGAGACTTTGGTATCAACACATTTCGTGTTAGTGTAGAATGTAAATTTCTAAATTTTATCCAAGTCAGAGTTGATAATGAAATTATAGTAATAATAAAAATAATTTCGGAAAACATTTGTATAGGAAGTGTTTGTGGTTTCGGGTATTTTAGACCATCATCTGTTGGATCTTTTCCTGACGTTAGCCGGCGAGAGTAGCTGGCATCTCAGATGTCTGTGTTATTGCTTCCAACATTAGAATACATACTTCGTCATTAAGACGACGTCCTAAAACCTGGAAACCACAGAACCAGAAAAACAGTTTCTCTTAGATATTCTACATATAATCCATAAATCTATCTTTTTGAGTATGAGACATAGAGATGTTACTACATTTATAAGTTACTATGTTTAGAAATGGATTGTGTCTGATGACGAAAGTTTTTCAGATAATCGGTCTAAAAACTTTAGATTCGGAGGGTCTCTCTCTCTCCGAAAAAATAACTTGTTTATACTAAATGAGTTTTGTGTTAAGGAATTCTATAGTTTTGGAGTTGATATCGGATCTATTATTGGAGCCATTTTATGCGCACATTACAAACATTGTATCAAAGTAAAAAATAGATGATGAAAGAAGAATTTCACTAGTTCGGACTTCCATTGTCTACTATATAAAATGATTTGAAATCCCTGAAATAACTAAAAAAGAAGAATTAAAAATGAATAGCTGAAAATAAGAATTATATTAACCAAAATAAACCTGAAATGAAATAATAGTGAAATAAAATACAAGTAAAAATAGAACAATTGAATAAATATTTTCAGCTATTCATTTTTAATTCTTCTTTTTTAGTTGTTTCAGGGATTTCAAATCATTTTATATAGTAGACAATGGAAGTCCAAACTAGTGAAATTCATCATGAAACATTGTCAATCACCTTCAAACAAATGATGAAAGAAATTACAACCAACAGAAAAATCGTCTAGAAAAAAGACAGAGAGTAATAAATTATAAGAAAGGGGGAATTCGGATTCAGCTACTGGTATTTTTTTCTCTTGGTACCCTAGAGTCACCCATCTTGTTATAAAACCTCTCTCCTGTCTGATACAACTTTTCATTATAATCTGACTGATGGTCATTTTGCGGAATTCAATACATTTTAAGAGCAACATTGAATTCCTCATTTTCTTTTTTCAGTGAGCAGTAATGGACAGAGACTGAGCTGGATCTAATCAAAATATGGATGAAATTATGTACAGACTGACATGAAACATTGAAATTACGAGAAATTGCGGAATATAAAAGTCATGCCATATGATAGAAACTAATTCTTAGGAATATTCTGTTTCCATCAGTACGAAAATCTTTCACTCAGTTCCGCTGAGAAGATTATTCATTGTATATAGTCCTATGAGAGATTTATTTTTTTGCTCAATTTTGCCGAAAAATAAATCAAACAATCTATTGAATTAAGATATGGTTAATGTGATATACTCAGACTTCTCAAATATTTTTAGTTTGTTCAAAAGTTAGTGTTGAATTTATTTTATTACTGTATCTTTCTTTTATTATTTCAGAACAATTCATCTAATATTAGATAAAACTGACAGCGCTAGTCTGTGATCAAGTGGTTAATTTTTGTGCAATCAATACAAATTAGGTTTGTGTTGTTAATTATAAGGAGCATTGCTGGAAATCATCAAAACATTGCTAAGAATATGGAATCTTGAACCTGAACTCTTGAACCTGATAATTCAGGTGATGTTGAAAGAACATCAGTTTGTAAACATTAAGTAAAACATGACTGGATAATTGCAACTCTTTCCTGGTACTCTGTTCTCAAAGCAAGTCATGATTATGTGATGTTCTCCAGTTGTTTTCCATTGAAATATTTAGAATATAGTTTTTTTTCTATGTATAGGTATTCTTATATAATTAACGTTTCAAATCACACTTATCTTTACAGATATGAAATTTTTGTTTGAAATGATATAAATATTGTCTTATGTTATATGGGGAGTTGATTTTTTGTCATCTTGGTATTATGAAGATAAATGATACAATGACATATTTATTCACATCACATCTTGAAGTGTTTGGATAAAACTTTCTCATATTCCAAGTATTGTATTCCACTTTAGATGTAAATATTTCTGTGTTCATTCATAATTTGTGCTCAATTTTAAAAAAGATGAATTGAAGCCAAATTTTGCCATATATCATACTGTACTCAAAATCTTGTATTTATTACTTAATGTTAAATAATTGATTCCAATGTTTATAATAAAATTTTGAATATATATTAAAAAAGTGTTTTCTTGTCACTCTGTAAGAAGCATAGACTTTTGAATATTGTAGCCCCGATGAAGACAATTTACATTGTCGAAAGCTCCATAACTCAATACATTCAAAGCCAATCAATTTTTAATTGCCAACAATCTTTGAGAATTTATCATCTTCAAAATATGTTCTCGAACGTCAAATTTGTAAAACGAGATTACAAATTTGAAATGTGGGGAAGAAATTGATATTTTTTGAATGTTCATTACTCAAAAACAAAATGAGAGTTCCGATTGTAACTCAAATATTTGTCACACTAGTAGTAGTTGGAAGAACATGGGATTTATAAATCAAAGCTCTGAAATCCTACCAACCAATTTTCAAATTATTTAAATGAAAATAAAAAGTATTTTTGAATGATTTGTTTTTCTGTTGTTTCTTGTTATGAAATTCAATGATATTACTCTCGTTCAAAATATCCTTCACAAATCAATCTTGTTTTAAGATATTCCTGATGTAAGTCATAAAAAAGTATAGTATTCTACTCGCGAAAAATGGCCATTACTCACTCGAATGATTAACTTCATTTTCACGAGTTATAACCACATTTCTTACTTGTTGTTTTTATGTTAACTGTAATATTTTTTTCAAGAAGTTTTTCTGCTTTTTCAAGAAGTCGCTGTTTAAAAAAGTTCTCAAGACAAATTTCTTGATGTTTTTGCTAACAAATTTGGCATAAGATCAATATCTTCACTGTTATATATACAGTAAGATCAATTGAATATATTGTTTTTCTTTTCATTATGTAATTTTGTGTCAAAATTACATACCAATTGAATGTCATATTCCAGTTGAATAACCAAGGAAGAAATTGATTTGAACTGAAATTTCGCATGCACGTTCAATTTTGATGGAAATGTATGATGTTAAGTGACGCCATTATAATCCAATTTGGCGCCCAAGATAGATAAGTTTTCTTGAGGGTTTCAGTTATGATAGCACCATTGCTGCATGTTATATATGGCATTGTTATAGCTTCAGATAGGGAACATTATACAGCTCTAGTTCTTCTTGACTTCTGCGGAGCTTTTGACACCATAAACCACGATTTATTGATGTCATTTTAAATTATGTTGGTCTGTCAACTTCAGCTATTACCTTGCTTGCCAACTATCTTAATGGAAGAAATCAACGAGTTACGTTTGATGAAACTTTTTCATCTCCCCTATCTCTCCAACGTGGGGTGGCGCACGGCTCTATACTTGGGCCGATCCTCTTTTTTATTCCTCTAATATTATCAGAAATTTGAATCACTACAAGGTGCACTTCTATGCGGATGACATCCAAATCTATTACCGTTTTCCCCCTCTAGATATAAATGATTCTTGCATGAACTTAATGAAGACTTGGATGATTTTTATAGGGCAGCAACAGAACACTGGTCGTGAACTCTCAAAAATCAAATGTTTTATTATTTGGACCATAGTCCAAGCGATTACACATTTTAGAGTCCATAAACATATCAATCAATAGCGTAAATATCGAGTTGGCACCTTCCACTGCAAGTGGAATTAATATGTGAAGCAATAGTTTTATCACATTTTAAGTATGCTAATACTGTCTATGGACCACAATAGAGTGAGCAGTATAAACGCAAAATTCAAAAAGTACAAAACTCGTGCTTAAGACTTATGAGTAACAGAAGACTTTTGCATGCTGCCAACCTATTTCATGAAATCATTCTTACATCAGGTGTTTTAGTTATGAAATATGTCATGTGATGTATGACCTTCCCCTTGAATTGCGCACAGCTGGGTTTTAAGACATGCCAGTGATATGATTTCAGAGCTTCACATCGTTTTTCTGTAAAGTTGTCGTAGTGTGGACAAATTTGTGTATTTTTCTTTTTTTTAATATTTATCGTATCTGTTAGAGAACATTCAATAGAGAGGTATTTTTTTAGGGCTAAGTGGAAGAACAGTTCAGTTGTTGAATTTATTAAGGAACTGAACTGAACTTCGCCCTTTATTTTCAAAAATATTCTGTGAATATATTTCCTCAATCTTGTTTTTTTTTAATAATAAAGATCTTTATTATTATTGAGGATATACTACAAAAACACACTTTTGTCTATTTTCCACTCTATTTCTTTATTGTGGCTAGTTTCGGCTATTACACCATTTTCAAAACTAACCATTTTGAAAATGGTGTAATAGCCGAAACTAGTCACAATAAAGAAATAGCGTGGAAAATAGACAAAAGTGTGTTTTTGTAGTGTATCCTCAGTGAACATGAATTTCCACAAAATAAACAAGTCGTCAATCAAAGAAGTTTATTATTATTATTACTATTATTATATGGGTATCAAATGAAAGGGTTTGCTGTAAATATGAAAAATAAAATTACGTTCCTCTAAATCCAATATAGCGGACGAGTCAAGATGGCGGACTGGTCTTTTCAGGCTTTTCCATGATGGGTTTCAAAAAATAATATGAAATCACGGTGAATCCATAGTCCAGCCAGACTAGATTTTTTGAGCAACCTCATGATATGTGTATCAAATGAAAGGGTTTGCTGAAAATAACATGGGATATAAATTCAATATCGTGGACTAGCCTTTTCATGCACATTCATGATCTGTATCAAATGAAAGAATATAAAAAATAACATCACATCACTCTTAATTCAATATGGCGAACTGCCCTAGATGGTGACATATGGTGTTTTATGCATCCCAACGATACGATTATCAAATAAAAATTTTCAACTTGTATAATTCAGCAAAGGTAAAGGATAGTTTAGTGGAATTTGAACAAATATTGTAAGTATCGACCCTACAACGATGATGAATGAATGCTCATACTAAGGAATATGTCTAGTGATGAGTAATAAATGATTAATAAAATTGCAAGAAAACATTTTCAAATACAAGTTTTTTTTATCAGCTCAAAAAATGAGAAAATAAACTCTAAAGCAATTGAAACTCATAAATTCATTATATGATATAAAAGCTGGTTCCTAAGATTTATCTGTATAGAAGAAATAAAACTAAAATATGTAACTTGACTTCGACTTGAGTAATTTCAAGAGAGTAATTCTAAGAAGCTATCGGGGTTGCTAACTAATCTCATTTTGTTATTATTTGAATATTTGAAATATCAGGTTTTTTGCCACATTACAAAATTCTGGTGGTGTACACTCGTTTTCACTTCCCGAGTTTTTATTGCTAATTCTCGTCAGCTTTATTGTTTGAGTTTAACGTTTCAGAACAAATCCTGAAGTACAAAATTCTCAAGCCCTTTTTTTCGATTGAAAATAACTGAACCACAACTCTGAAGTTATGAATTTATTCATCTGATATTGGGCTTGGAGGTAGATACTTATGAATATGGAGAACTGTGATTGGTTCAAAGGTTATGGTTCATTTTGCTTACTTATGCAATAGGAAACTGTCACATAATTGACGTTCTTTCAGTACCTAGTCACAAAAGAAATATTCAAAAATTGCCCTGGAAATGCAAAAAATTCGGAAATGAGGTTGACAGAAAATCATTCTGATTTCGAATGCTTCTATGATTTTCAATTGATCATTCTCAAAGACAGAAAGAAGTTCTTTGTATTTTTTTTTCTTTTCTCTGTATACATTTTTCACTCAATTGATTATGATTTGTCTTGTTCACAACGACTCTTTTGTTTCACGACTTGCTGGATGTTGCCAGTTGTATTGCCTTTACTATGTTTATTCTGAGTTAATTCATACTAGATAGAATATACAGCTTGGCAAATCCAGCTGTGCCTCTGAGATGCCCAACGATAAAGAGAGATGGTAACTGTCCTCTACCACTACGCCGGCTGATCTACTGCGCATTCAATGTTCAGCGGCACAGTTAGATTTGCCAAGATGTACATGGTTGAAAAATATACATATAAATCAGCGCATCTATCTGGCAAATTTACGAATTGAAATTTATATACAACATTCAATATGGGGTCCATTTTTTGTGTAAAAAAGCTTTTGGCTTCATTGACAAATTTGTCAGAAGGAATTTAAATTCATTTACGGTCCATCCATATACGGACCTCACTGATAATGCATTTTCAGAACATGTTGATAATAATGACTATAAAATGGATTACAACAATTCCACTGCCCTAGTATTTCTAGAAATACTACACATCAATAATGACTATTGATCCTTCAATAAAAAAACTGATTCAATCTCAGCCAAATTTATACTCACATTCTCAAATATAAAAAAAATTTAGGTCCACGTCTAATCAAAATTTTCCTCTTAAAATTTATTGTCACTGTCAGCCACTTCCTTCAAAAAAATATTTTATACTGTTTTTTTGGGTTTATAACCTTCCACAATCTGAAAGAAAAGATAAATCAATAGAGAATCTGCTGAAGTGCAGTAACGGGTAACCTGAAAAGTTCACCCCGAAAAGTAATGTAAACTACTGGAAAGATCAATTAGTCAGTAATTAATCGAATTTTGCCTATTTTTGCCTACAAAATGAAAAAAATCGATTGACAAAATTAAATATTTATTCTCTATTGATTTAGCTTTCATTTTTTCAGATTGTGGAAGGTTATAAACCCAAAAAAACACTATAAACTATTGAGTCCCCCACAAAAAATGTCTTTTAAAGAATATTGAAAGAAATGTTAAATGTTTAGTAGAGATACTTATTTTCTTCTTCAATCTCACGATAGTAAGTAGATCAGTTTGTGGTAAATAAACCATTTTGTTGATTTAATATTCCTGTTGTCCCGAGGAAGGTGGTAAGCACCACCGAAAGCTTGACAAAAACAAAGAGTTTTGTTTGAATAACCTTCAAAATCTGACTGCAACCCTAAAATACTGTTTTTCATATAATATATCCAGTCAGGATTTATCCCGAATATACAAAACCGCGACACGTGTTTCGCTATACGATAGCATATTCGGGCGTCAAAATTCTCAAGTATTGTGACGCCCGTCGCGGTTTTGTAAACTTTCAAGTTGAAATCTCACAATAAATTGTGTTTTTTGAATACCTCATTTTGAATATCCATCTTGCACTGGAATCGTCATCAAATCAGTTATATTAGGCTGTTTTGATCGATTTTGATGAGTAACTTCTACTTGAGGCACGAAAAAGATAGATTTACTTTTGGGTAAGTTGGTTGATCTTATCTGATCACTACATCTCTTCACCATCGAGTTTCACTTGATAGTGAAGAAGCCCAAATTTCTTGATAATTTCACCTGACTTCCATAACTGTTTTTATGTTGGTGTAATACCTTGCTTGAACTCTTTCTAGCACACAGGATTGTCGTACATTTTCATTTAATGCTGCTAATTATTCACAATGAACTATTTTCAAAGCATTAAAAAATGATAGGAATCTGTCGATTGAGAAATAGCTCTAATGGTGCCTTCCCATTAGACAGTGGTGTTGCTCAGTAACGGAGGAGTATTTTACCAACTTTCTGTCATTGGCCACAACAGCATATCCGTAACATGTTTCATTTTAGTCATTCCAATGTGAGTACACGATGAACCTCTTTTAAAACTGTTGCTTGTAAGAATGTAGGTTTAACAATTCGCTGGCCTTTGAATAAAACGCCATAGTTTACAATAAATTCCGTTTTATGATTTGAGTCCTGTATGAGATCTTTCAAAATTGCTGATAGTGTTTCGCCCTTGAGTGTTTCCTTTTTCAGCGTTTTATAAGTCAGTTCGAATATATTTGTGAAATGTTCGAATTACACAAATGGAGAACTTCGTAATCGATAACTGAACCAATATGAAGTTGCGAAGAAACAGAATTATCTTATTTTTTCTTGAAGGATAATGTGTAATTGAATCCAGACAAGAATGTTCGGTATCTTTGAAGTCGGACTGGAGTCATTTGGGCAATCTTTGTTTTGATGAGGATGAATGAGAGGGTGAACAAATATTGATGAAATCGTTCCACAGAAAAAAACCAAGGCCTCTATATCGAGTTAAGAGTAACCTTGTTCTGCAGAAGTCAAAAACCTTGAAGCGAATGCGATGGGTCGTTCATTGCCATCTGCAACGTATGAAAATATTACAGCAATATCATTAGAAGTTGCGTCACATGCAAGTTTCACTGGTAACGATGGATTTAAAGGCATGAGAACTTGGTCTCTGGCAATTTCTTGTTTGGGTTTGATGAAAGTTGCTTCAAATTCTGCTGTCCACTCGAATGTGAAATTTTTTAGGGTGACATGGGTGCTTCTCATAAAATCTGATCCATGATACGGTCGAATTCTGATGGGGCTGTTTTGCTCCCAAAAGATAATCGGCTCATGCTGTATGTAACTCTGTGTATATTAATTGTTAGAATTTCTCTTGATTTCTCATCGACCTTGATATGAAGATAGGCTTTGAAACCTGGAACACATCCAATTTTCTCTTTGAAAACGTTTGGATAAGTTGCGCTTAGTTCCTCTACAATCCACATGTTGAATCTGTTAGAGGATATTGAAATTGTTTGTTGACTTAGTTGATTCAAATCTATCTTGAGGCGACGGATCCAAACTCTACCAAGAATAGCAGCATAATTTTCTGGCACAATATAAACATTTTCTTTTATTTTGATGTTACCACAAGGGATGTTAACTTCCCGTCTGGTATGAAAACATCTTGTAATCCGATGGTGGCTAGTTGAAGATGAATATTTAGATTGAAATCTTGTAATTGTTGGCGTTGAAGAAACGTATAAGCTGATCTCAAATCTACTTTGAACTCGATTGATTTTCCTTCTATGTTGATGTGGGCGTAATAACGACTCATATCAGTGTCAGAACTATTCTGATTTTGACGAATATCAATAATATGTTGTACATTATATTGTCGCGCGATTTAATGTGAATCATGACAATTCATCAACTGATGAATTGATACATACCTCAGAAACGTGACCAGTCCTGTTACACGTTACATTTGGGTGAGGGTTGTTCAATGTGGCAAGCTTTCATGATATGATTGAATTTCCCACATCTGAGACAAATATTCTGCAGTCCTATAGTGATTTGAAGTTATATATTGTACCTATATTGTACCTTAATTTTCTAGTTCTTGAAAGGACATATGAACGTAAATGATTTCTGTGCATTTTATGAACAGATTGGTGGGAAAAGTTGACTGACATTGCTCTCATAAAAATGTCTTTGAAAGTTTTTGCTATTAGACTGAAGTAATGCACGAATGCTATTATTGTATGAGCCACGAATGAATTGAGCTGTCAGGAATATTTTTGCAAATGATTCCTTGCACTCGCATGTGAATTCACAATCACTTATATTACGTTTGAGTGTAGTCTTTCTGGAATTGATTGTTCTTATTTGGTGCAAGATGTTCCTCCAATAATTTCATCAATTCATCATAATATGATAACTGATCAGGAAAAATTGAAAACAATATATACTAAAACTATTATCTTTATATTACACTACAAATACATCACAAGGAACATGACGGAATCGAGTTTTTGTAACACAAAACATTTGAACTAAATCACCTAATTCACTATAAAACTATATTGTTGAACTGCCGTTTTGACTGAAGAAATAAATACATTATCGAAATATACAATGAGAATAGACTTGCTAGTATTCAGTTACCACTACTTTTAAAATGAACATTATTTCATACAACTTCCTTGGTAACGTATGAATGTTTTTTCAATAAATCATCTAGATCACTCCATGCATAAAACACAGTAAAGCCTTTTGGTGATAGGCCTTCGAAAACGGCACATACTGATGGTTTGAGGTTGTAAAACAACAGAGGTTGGTTTCTGGAGAGGAAATCTTGTGTCAGCATTTCAATAACGGTGGCAGCGGTGTAGTCCGCCCCGTATATGTGTGAGCAGTCCATCACTACTGGTATACTTTGGCGAAAACTGTATTTTGTTACTAAATTTCTGATATATGCGACTGAGGGGAAGATTAAACATCTATCTGGTGTGAGCATCAAGTACTCAACACCATCAGCAGTCTGAAAAAAAAAAAGAGGATGTTAAAGAATAGAGTTATCAGATCATGGAAAAGATAGTTTGAAAAGGGATTGTGCATTTAAAATTTTTAATTGATTTAAATTGTGATAACATTGGTAACAGAATTAACTCCAAAAAATTTGATTAGTAGAATTCGGAACTTCTAGCATAAAATGAAAACCTTTTTCCCTCACTAGAATAAAAACACTGCCTCGACGCTCGTTTCGCTGATCAAATACGCATCATTCTGAAGATGACTAAGAATTATTTTCAAGGCTATGTTAATGATTTTATATATGCATCCAGAGGAATCATTTCCTTACATAATGCTGGGGGTTATTAAATTAATTCTCAGTGTTTCCTTATTGTTCCTAATGTTATTTGATATATATTTGATACCTCAACTTTACTACTTTCCTGTCTGTAATAACGTAAGAGTGCGAACAAAGGCCTGTTGGTGATAGGACCTTTGTCACCGTTCAGAGATCTAATTCCACATGTTATTTCAATTCCTAAACTTTCGAAGGAATCTGAAAACTTGTCATATGCGGATCACAATTTCAAACATTTCTTACTTATTCTGTGGCTGTTCTCTATGGCACGGTGAGCAACAATTGACTTCTCTGATGTATGAAATCAAATTTATGAAACACGTTCCTTGTAGCGAGCTATTATAGTCTGCGAAGTTTGACTGACATACCTACGTTTTATCGCAATTCTCAAAGTCCAGATGCATATAAAAACATTAACATAGCCAGTCTTTTAGAAATCGATACTTATAATACTTATAAACTCAACACTCAGTCATCTATACGTATTCAAAAACACTTTATTGTGAGATTTTCCCTAAACGATTTTAGAAAAACGCAACATGTGTTTCGCTATACAATGGCTTCTTCTGGCGTGTTTTTACAAGTATTGGCCAATTCCATCATATATCATTCATCTTTGTTTCTGCGTACTGGCAAGTCCTAGGAAGCTAAACTTTGGTACACAGGTGTACATAAATGATTTTCAAATATTTGCGGCGTGGCGTGGGGGTAAAAGGGACGCATTTACATATGAAAATTTCCTTTTCATCTCTGTTTCTCCGTACCGCTATGATGATTGATAAAATCCAAATAACTATCTCATTCTCATCCACTTGGATGTTGTATAATTGATGTACGCGTCTACAATTACTGTTAAGTTTGTCCGGCCTGGTTATTGAATATCCTCTAATAGTTAGTTATCCTAATATTATGACTTGCTACAAACATTTTTCACAATGTAATGTAGTCAAATAAATCTTATCAGGTAAAATAACAAATTACAACAATAGTTACATCTAATATTTCATTGAATGATCCTTACCGAAGGTAGTGCCTAGTCCAAATGAATATAAAGTTGTAAGTAATTTAGTTATAAGAAAATAATTTCAGTAACCCCGTTTACTGAAACGCGGGAGAGTGCTGCTCAATTTCAGACGGAAAACATGTTTTCATCAGATTCATTTTAAACCAGAGGTTATAATTCTACCTAACAAGTTAGATTATTTCAACAGAATTGATAGATTTTGGATTTTTTGTAAAAATGTGTTGATAATGTTGGAGTGAAATCAAAGACTTATGTGAGTTACTTACGTTCAACTTTTCAACGCTAAGTTTTGGCCTGGCAGCATGGTATAGTATCGACAGTAGATTAATTCCAATTCCTACTAAGATTCCAACTTCCAAGTGCAGCACAAGACATGCAATGAAAGTTGCGCAAAATACAATAAAGCAGCTCTCTGAAATCAAACAGTGATTTATTGGTCATTTTCTTGAAACATTGAAAATTCGAGGATGTGCTGAGCATGATATGACGTTTTTCTACAGAAAAAAGCCGAAATTATTGACAATCTTTAGATATCGATGAAGTACATAATGCACTTGCTATCAGCATGTCCAGCATATGCGGTCTCGGCCTATATCCATCGACATAACGCGGCCCTAAGAGTGCTATATTACTATCTACGGCACTCTTACTGTATTGACGAGACACCGGTGTTGCCCTACGCTCCGGGGGATATTGAATCCGTTGTGGGGAACGAGAAGTGCCGAATTTATTGGAACTATTCGTTCCCCACCCTTAGGCTCATACAAGCTAATAAGCCTGATGTGGTCCTTCTCGACCACCAGAGCAAAACGATATTTGTCGTGGAGTTTTCAGCTCCTGGCGAGACGAATATCGTCAGAAAAGAGGAGGAAAAATGGATAAAATATAGAGATTTTCTCTTCGAACTCCGCAGACTCTATCCAGATCACTCTGCCAAGATGGTTGTTCTGATTATTGAAGTCCTTGGTGGAATGATGTCCTCTCTATTCTCGAATCTTAAAATCATACCGGCTTGCCGCACTAAGGCAGAAATCTTAGCCGCACAGATGCAGAAGGCTGTCATTCTTGGCTCACCGCGCTTACTCAGGACACATGATTCTCGGACCCAATGATCACTTACCCCACGGTGTGGGGTAACAATTGGTAACAATTCAATTGAAAACACAATTCCTCACTATTGTTTTTCGTTATGCAAGACATTAAACACCAGCAAGAACTGTGACTTTGAATAAAACGCGTGAGCTGTAAACAATACTGTTTGTTGGTAACTAGGTTATTCGGCGTCACCTGACACGGCCACTTCACAGCAAATGCGATAACATGAAAATAGTTAACTGACAAGACATGTCAAAATGTGTTTTTATAGTTGTACAAAAAATTTTGTATGATATTCGTGTTAAAGGTAAGTTTCATTTTGTGAGTGAAAAAGTTTGCGAAACGAGCGTAGCGTGTTGAGCAATTTCACGAACCTTACCTTACTTTTATCACTCATATCATAAATAGCCATTTTGTTGAAACAGAACAGATTGATCAATTGAAAAATTCTCAGTAAAAAAAATAAATATATCCACTTACTCTTCGATCTCCACATTGGCTTTATCACTTTGATTTCAACCATAAATACAACGGCAGCAATGATGACAGCTCCCAAGACAGCATTGGGAATGTAATAAAAATACGGAGTGAATATAAGAAGGGCTGCGATAACTAAAACACCGGTATAAAATCCACCCAAGGGCGTACGGACCCCACTTGAATTGTTCACAGCACTTCTTGCTAAGGCTCCCGTACCAGGATATCCTTGGACGAAGGAGTTACCTATGTTGCAGAGACCGAGGGCCAAAAGTTCTTGTGTTGCATCAACAGTCTTGCCGTTTGCTGTAATGAAAAGGTGCGATATTGATCATTTTTAGGTAGATTTTTCCATCAGTAGAAAGTTGGATAAAGTTATTATTATTATAATTGAATCGATTCCTTTGTATCTTCTTGTGGATAAATACTAATTTATAAAAATGCAGTGTGTACACCTCGATCTTCTATTATAAGTTTGAGATGGAAGATTGAAATTGTCATAATTTTGTACGAAACATATTCAGGTTGTCGGACCAAGAAAATGATGTTGAAAATTTGTCGGATAAGTTATCGACTATCTTTTTTTGGCGATTATTAGCAATTTCAATCAAATATTTTCCATGATAATAATTGAAGAATTTTCACAATACATTTTATTTTAAACGCATTTCACTACACGTTAGCTTCATCAGTTACTGGTGATTTCAGTTCCAGACCCAGGACAGAGATATCAACCTGCCTATGCGACTGTATTTCGAGCGAAAATCTATGCTATTGAATTGTGTGCAGAGAGAATGGTAGAATTGGTAGAACCCAACCTCACACACAAGCCAATAACATTTTTCTCGGGCAGTCAAGAGGCGTTGGAAGCTCTTGGCTCCTACCGAGCAACGTCTAAATTGGTAGCAAATTGCCAAAAACTACTCTCCTCAATACGAAAACTTAACAAATTTTCTCTGGTTTGGATTCCTGGCCGAAATGGCCAGGAAGGCAGTGAGGCTGCTGACTCCCTTGCAAAGGAGGGTGCTGCAAGTACTGCATTGCTTTAAGTTTTGCCAAACAAACATTGAACTCCTGGATGGCAAGAAGATTTGAAGACTTCTGGCAAAATTTTCCAGGATTGGCTCACTCCAAGCCGTTCATTCACCCTTCGAAGCTTGAAACCAAACAGTTGTTGGACTACACTATGGAGTAACTACGATGTCTAACAGACCTCCTTATAGTTTACTGTCTTCTGAATCATCATATGCAGAGACTCGGACTGTCGGAAGACAGTGTGCCTCTGTTTGAAAAATGATGAAACAGCAGAGCATATACTTTGTACCTGCCCTGCTGTGGACCAAATCAGGTATTCAGAGTTTGGTAGAACCACACTCTTATCATCTGACCTGAAAGATCACTCACCATAGAAACTGATCGGCTTTGTCAAGAAGTTGAGTTTATTTGGTCGAGTTTGAATAGGTGTGAGCCACAATAAACCCTCACCCACAATAGACTTCCTCATTTTTGACCCAACCTTACCTAACCTACTGTGAAATCGAATTAATAATAATAATAATAATATCATGTGCCCTGAGCCCTTTTTTTTCGAAAAATGGTCGTTCTTCCTATTTCTACGCCATAAACTCGACTTTTTTCAAAGCGAAATCCATTTGACGACTGAAGAATGTACGAAAGATATTTCGTTTCAATTTTGTACAACAGTTTACATATTTCTTGGAACAGGTTGGACTCAAAATTTCTGCCCTGGTCCGAATGCAGCTCCAATGGGACACCGAATCG